GGCAAGAACACGCCTGTTATCTGCCAGAAGCACTAACAGGTCCAGTCAAACTGCTGTAGGTTATGACCTTTCTAAATTTCATTCAGTTAAGAACCTTTATTTTACATCACAAAGGCATATGCTAATTTCTTAAAGCTTGAGAAATGACAATGTAGACTTTGGCCAAAATGCAGCTACAGTTTTAGAACATCTGATACAATGAATTAAAAGTAGATCAATTAAAATGTAAAGTCTACCTCAAAAATTCCACTATCCTATGAATGTTAACTAAGACCGCTCCGGACGGGCAGGCAGAACAGTGCCTGTTCTACTCAGGAACCACACGAAGTTTTCTCGTTGTTCCCAAACCAATTTGACAGCCATATGCGTTGCGACTCAGAGAACACCAGTGTCCATAGCTCTCCTATCTGCTTGGGGCCCAAGGGGTGAAAACACCACCACTGGAAGGAAAGATAACATCAATGCTTTCTCATCCTCGCGATGGCATATTTACTATAGAGATGTAGCATAAATGAAAAGATCAATTATTCTACAGAAGGGACAAGATTGGGGGAGGGACTTCAATGTCTTCTTCCTGGCCAGTCACTCCAAAAAAAAAAGATTTAAACAAAAGGTCTTCAAAGGGCACTCAATGGACAGTGGCTAATAGCCCAAAACAACAACATCAACCAAAAAGAAGGAAACCACCAAAAAACAGACAATGTATATTCGGGGCCTTCATCTTCTAATGGACAAAAGGAATGAACTCTATTGAAGAGCAGGGTCCATGTGGGGCAAAGGTACCAACACAGGCAATTGACTGTGCATTCAACCTTCTCCAGAGCACCCTAGACCAGCAGCACCCTAGACCAGCGCCATCTATCCAGCTAAGGCAAGCACCTCATGCAGGCTAGTTCCCTTAAGATTGTGCTTTTGATTTGCTAACATGGCTAGACCACACCCCTCTGCTAACTAAAGACCCAAGATAAACGGAATGTTTTTATTGGTGATGTCATTTTAATATGGAAGCAAAGATTAAAGATTCCGTTTTGAACATTTCTCAAGATAAGACCTCTCCATACTTTATCATAGTTTTTTGTTTGTATTTTACGTTGAAGAATAAGCAGCTCAGCAGGTGGAAAAGCCAAGACTACAGGTCCATTCCCATGCAGCAGAGCCAGCTCCACTCCCTAGCTCCAGACTACTATTTTAAGTAGTTCATGCTCTTTGTCATTAGAAAACTAAACGCAAAGGAGCTAATCACCCCTCAGGACAAATGTACAACTACCACTGTGAAGTGACTGTGAAGTGACTGTGATGTACGCAGCTGACGACGGCTGTGCGCACCCTGAGTTACCTTCCCGTAAGAAAGCCGTGCACTTCAGTTTGGCTGGAGTCCTAAGGTGTCAGCACAGGAAGGACCAGACTCCCAAACACTGGTCTTTAAAGAGAAAAATTGCTTTAGATTCACTGGATTGCTTAGCAATCATACTTAGAAAGATTAACTTTATCCAGGGCTAGAAAACACTTGGCAGCGGCCACGTGTGTATATACACGTGTGTGAAACTGTGCTTCGGCCATGCATTGACCATGTGTCCAGCCTGGTGCATCATGGAGCACTCAAGTACCGACACATCTTCTAAAGCTTCTTCCTTATACCCTTTGCCCAGTAACTACAGCTATCTTCTCCTTTCTATAAGCATAGTCCATCATATTTTTTAAAACTGCAATCTAGAACTCTACTTTGAAAGCATCAAAGCCTATGCTGTCCGCTTGCAATCTGCAGCCTCCACTACACAGGCGCCCAGACTAAAAGCAGCTCGTTCCCAGGAAGATGTTGAGGAAGCCCATCATAATCTCATCTGTAGACTTTTTTGGCAACTATACAAATGCACTTTAAAGTCTTAGGACATAACACAAAATGAGAAACTCTAACTAGACTTTACCAACCTGTCAAGAGTAAGTAAGATCTGACAAGACTGTTGTTTTACTAACACTTATTTCCCTAGAGACAGGTATGTAAAGGATAGGACACCTGTAGACCAGGTGTCCTCAAACTGCGGCCCACGGGCTACATGCGGCCCGCCTAGGACATTTATCCAGCCCTCCGGGTGTTTTTGCCAATGCTGCCTGTCCTGCTTAGCAGCCAACTCATCCAGGAGCCTGAAGTCCGGCCCTCCAATGGTCTGAGGGACAGTGAACTGGCCCCCCGTTTAAAAAGTTTGAGGACCCCTGCTTTAGAAAAAACGATGGTGTCTTGCTTATCACTAATCTAAAGCTACAACAATACATATGAACCCCTTCCCCCAGGCTAGAAAATAATCCGAGTCAAAATTACCAAGAAGAAAATGATAGTGAGTCTGATTTTATTATAACTATGATAAATATATAAAGAAAATACTGCCTCAGAGGATAGAGGAACACAACAGATGTCAATCAAGAAAATCTCTGAGCAGAGAACTCCACCAGTACAAAAATAAAGATAAAATGCCAAGATAGTTTCTTAATAAGAAATAACTTGGCAAAAAGTCTAATTTCATAATTCACTTTGCTTTTCTTACTAAGTTACTATTAGAGACTTAAAAAAATCCCTAAAAGTTAAAAATACATGTAAGGAAATAGGTAGTGAAATGTTTTCAATGCATACATGTACTCAGACCTTACCTTTATGTTAAGTTTTATAGAACTTAATTCCTATAATGGAAGAATGTCATTAACTTAGATTTGAAATCTTTTTTTTTTTTTTTTTGAGACAGAGTCTGGCTCTGTCACCCTGGCTAGAGTGCAGCGGCATCATCATAGCTCACAGCAACCTCAAACTCCTAGGCTTAAGCAATCTTCTTGCCTGAGCCTCCTGGGTAGCTAAGACTACAGACACATGCCACCACATCGGCTAATTTTTTCAATTTTTAATAGAGATGGGGTCTCAGTTTCCCTTTCACTCAGGCTGGTCTTAAACCCCTGACCTCAAGTGATCCTCCTGCCTCAGCCTCCCAGAGTGCTACGATTACAGACGTGAGCCACCACACCCGTAATCCCAGCACTCTGAAATCTTTTTATCTGACATAACACACAAATTACTAAAGCCTTTAAAAGTACCAACTCACTCTTACAGCATAAAATTAATTTTGCCACATATTTTCATTACCTGTACTTATGAATTGATACTTAATAGAAAAATATTCAAAGCTCAAAACAGCAAGCAATGACCATAATTGCTTTGACAGCACTGGGAGTCTTTCTTTTATACATGAATACAAAAATCCAGCTTCACTTCCCAGCACCTTTAATGAAATTTCACCTAGGCTAAAAGAGTTCTATGAGGGTCTCAGACCCCAGCAGATGCTCATGTCTCAAGAGGGTATCACTATTTAAAATCCTAAACCATTCACTTGCTACTTCTGGATAAAAATTTGTGAAAAGCGTGTAAACCATACCCTTATCTTTTGGATTACTATGGTTAAGTACAAAAACAATTCATTTAGCATCTTATAAATCATCAGTTATACATAAAAGCACCTACAAGTTTTTAAAAAATAAAAGATTCACAGTGCACTGCACTTTGGAACCTACAAAGGCTAGAACATAAGAACATTTAAAAAGAGAATTGTAAGCCTTCTCTCTCTCTCAAAGACATAAAACACTCTTCCTCTTACCTAGCTTCTTAAAACACAGCCTTCAGTAGAAGCAGACTATTGTGTATCCAGCACACTGCTTGATTTCCTCAAACCATGCTACAATCTCTCAAAGGAGAAATCCAGTTCTGTGCTAAGCATGGCCTTTCCCGGGTACCTCGACACTGAGGAATGCACACGCAGGTTCGAGGGAAGGAACGCAGTAGGTGTACGTAAAACGGGTACACCCAACTGAAAACAGTTTCTGCATATGAACTTTAACTTTGTAACCCCAAACTGTCAAGGAGCTAAAAGCCTAAAGTTATGATCGCACCCCCACAGGCCCTTATTGTGCTCCACAGTGCACTGAATGAAGCAGCACAACAGCAGCGACAGTGAACCAGACTTAAACTGCTGTGATCCCAAAGATCAGCTGTTGGTTCTTGAAAAGGTTCGACTCCATGAGAGGCCATAATTCTGGTAACTAAGACTAATCTCTTTTGCTTCGGTATTGAGAGCTGAAGAATCCAACTCTACAGGCACCAGAAAGACTGACCAAACTACTCACTTAAAAGATACATACAAAAAAAAAAAAAACACACTAAAGATTAAATGGTTTCCAAATGACAGTTAACGAGTGAAAATTATTCATCTGCCAGGCAAACTACGCTTTCACTCCCTTAACAATTTAATAGAAATCTGGAATGCTGGGACCAACTATAAATATGGCTCAAGGAGACCCAAGCAAAGCAGCTGTATTTCTGAAAAGAACAGTTAAGAGCTTCCAAACACAATTGTATAATGCATTAAAAATCAAAGGTCACAGAAGGATTCACAAATTTGTCACATTAAAAGATGCAGGATACTGAATAACAATTCTATACATGCTGCGATAACTGTGGATTCTCCTGCTTAGCACCAAAAGGGTGACACTTTCATTAATAAATAGAATTTCTCCTTTAAAAGCTAAAGCAAAGTACTACCAAGTGAATTCCTTACAAAAGCCCTTCTGTTAAAAGTCCCATGGGGTTAAGTAGAACCCCTATTAAATAGACTACCTATACAGAAGAAAGATTTCTGCAGTAACATTTACAAGCAGAGAAATATTTTGTGGATACCACTGTAAAAAAAATTTAAGTCACATGATAAAATGCACGATGTGCGTACGCACACACCCCACACACACTCTCAAACACCCCCCACCACCCCCTAGAAATACCTTCAATGAGATCAGACACAGCCAAAACACTAAAGCTCCGTAAAGCCCTGGTGATTGTCCTCAACTATAGCTGAAATCCTCCTTAAAATGGGTGCTGACATCCTTTATTTGGATTTAAGAATCCTGAAAGAACAAAATACATTCCTAGGACTGATGTATGCTACCTGCATGTAACATACATAATGGCGACCTAGTGAAATGCATTCTGTGTACCTGGGTAACTGTATACCCCTTCCCATTCCATCACCCAGGGGCTTCAGCACGCCAATAAAAGCCTGTCAGTCTCTGCTACTATTGCAAATTGGAACCTAATATACCATCAGTTTCCATAGATCAACACTGAGATGTGATATAAAACTCGATAATGTCAGTTTTCCATACATATTTACACTATTGGGATACAGAAGAAATTTCCACAAGAATAAAGTCATTGTGTAATACTAAAGGGTTGGAGGCAAGATAGTAAAGACACGACCCAACGTGACCACAGCCGGGCAGCTCTCCCTGCCGCCCTCTCTCCAGCAGTCTTTCGGGTCTACTACCAACTGCATTGCCACATGACTCAAAATACAGCATCAAGGCCTCCTCAACTCAATCCCCCCCCAGGTTGCAGACTTTGTCCTTATGAAGTGCTAAGAGTTCACTTTGAACGTGAACACTGTATTGCAGAAGCTGGCTCTAAATAAATCCCTTCATCAGAACTGCCCACAGAGATCAGAGAGCCTCAGTGGTGAGAAGCAGGGGAATGCACAGAATGCCACCAAAGCAGACGACGCACACACAATCTTGACATGTGCGACATTTCAGCTCTTGTGTTCATTTAACAATTGGTATTTTAAGTTTCCTTAAAAACTTTCAATAAGTAAACTATTATTATAATCACTACGATAGGCAGACAGAGCATTCCCATTAACTCGGCTACTTGATAACTCAAAACACTATTTTCTAGGCCAGAATGCAAAATAAAGCCCACAGTGACACAAAATAAATGCCCTTAAAAAAAAATCAACTTGAACTTAGACCAAACACTGAAAAGGTAAATCTGCATGAAAGATTATAAATGCGTTTACAGTGCAAACTCATGTGTTCTTTCCACTTTTTCTTCAGAAGCATTGCCTTCTGCATTTCTTTAAAACACCTGAGAAAGGTAAGGCTTGAGAAGACACTCACGACCACGGTCTCTGACCTTGGGACTTCTCTGTCTGCTGCTATCAAAGGTCCAAGTTCTTCATTATAGCATTATGATCAAACTTGAAACTCAAAAAGGCTCTGGATGAGAAGGGGAACTTGCAATGTCCATTACATGCCACAGACTGTCCCTCAGCATGTTCCAGCAACTGGTCCTCACTGGTGCGAGGTAAGTCATAAACAGCATCTGTTTAAAAAAATTAAAACAATAAGCTCAGTAACTTTAGTAAAAAATTAAACGCCCCCCTTAGCCTTCTGGTATAAAGGAATTCACAGAGGGTAACCCCAAGTAGAAGGGCTGAGATATATATTATCCTTTTCCCTAAACTGGTGCTCAACTAACATTCAAAATTTTAATGTCTTTAACACTTTTGACATTCCCTTGCCTTCAAACCTGGCCCTAACTTTACCCCTTTTACTTGTATTTTGTACAAACATGATGGAACCTTCTTGACAAGAGATCAAAAAACAAAGCACTATAAACAGTACAATGACCCTGTAAAAATTATAAAGATTATAATTCTAGAAAAATAAAGCTAGAGTTTAGTAAGTCTTCTTAGAATGTATCAAACTAAAGAAAAATCCAAATTTTCCAAATCACAGTGCAACACAACTCTAAATTATCTGGGCTCTTTTTTTCTTTTAAATAGAGCAGGGACCTGACCAGAAAAGCTGGTGTGGAATAGACATCAAGAGACGGAGGCAGGGGCTCGGCGCCTGTGGCTCAAGCGGCTAAGGCGCCAGCCACATACACCTAAGGTGGCGGGTTCGAATCCCCAGCCCGGGCCCGCCAAACAACAATGATGGCTGCAACCAAAAAATGGCTGGGCGTTGTGGCGGGCGCCTGTGGTCCCAGTTACTTGGGAGGCTGAGGCAGGAGACTCACTTGAGCCCAGGAGTTGGAGGTTGCTGTGAGCGTGATGCCATGGCACTCTACCCAGGGGGACAGCTTGAGGCTCTGTCAAAAAAAAAAAAAAAAGAGACGGAGGCAGGAAGTGAAGTGTGAAGTGAGGCCTCCTAGGACAACTTACACTGCAAGATCCAAGTTTTATATATCCAGTTTCTAAATATAATCAGCTTAGATAACTCATTTCTGAGTATATATTAATTAGATTTAACTATCAGCATATCATGTCTCCACCACCCAAGGTGGCCAGGAAAAAAAAATCCTGTTATGAGGGTTTCTACTCCCATAACTTCTCTATACGAAACTCCAATGAGGGGAAAGTCAGTAAACAGCACTGAGAAAACTGGATGTCCACGAGTAAAAGAAACCGGATCTTTCTTTATACTGTACACAAAAATGAACTCAAAATGCGTTAAGACGTCAGTGTCAGACCTGAAACCCATAAGAACCAAGGGAGAAAAAAGAAAAGCTCCTGAACACTGGGCTTAGCAATGCTTTTGTTTTCTGAATGACACAAAAATACAGCAAAAATAAACCAATGGGACCACCTCCAACTAAACTCAATGACATCTCTTTTGAAATAGCTTTTATCCATGGCAGTGAAGTGGCTCACACCTGAAATCCTCGCATTCTGGGAGGCCAAAGTGGGAGGATCCCTTGAGCTCAGGAGTTTGAGACCAGCCTGAGCAAGAGCAAGACCCCTGTCTCTACTAAAAATAGAACAGAAAAAATCATCTGGGTATAATGGCAAGCACCTGTAGTCCCAGCCACTAAGGAACCTGAGCCAAGAGGATCACTTGAGCCCAGGAGTTTTGAGGTTGCTGTGAGCTAGGCTGACACTACGGCACTCTAGCCTGGGCAACAGAGACTCTGTCATTCATAAACGAATGAATGAATGAATGAATAAATAAACAAATAAACAGCTTTCATCTTGTTTAAATCACAGACAGTATTATAAAGAAGGAATATAACACTGCTTTTCATTTCTTTGACTTTTCTATATAAAACCCTTAAATTTAGGTAGTAACTAAATGCATATCTATTTCACAGGAAATTTCATACAATTCAAAATAGCACCTAAGGAACCTTTCTAAATGACACCTAGTAAATCAGTATTACCAAAACAGCATTCTGCATTTATTAAAATTACTTTCCAAATCATACAACACATCTGCTTTTCATAATTGAGGAAAGAGAAATTACAAACATCACTGTAATGAAAGCTAACCTTAGCACCACCTTTAAATGTTGATCATCATCACCTCCAAAAAGAGAGAACACGCTCCCCTTCTGGAGTCAGTGCATCCCTTACAGGTGCGTGAGAGTGAGCCTCCTCACCCCCTTCTGGAGTCAGTGCATCCCTTACAGGTGCCTGAGAA